TGTGGAAACCTATTGTACTTTTATCACAGACGCAACAATAAGATTTCACTTAATGCTGTTTAAGCTGAAGCCTCAGGTTTCAGGAAGCTAACCTAGATGCTAAAGAAAGTTTAACGCTTTAGGAATGACATTCTTTGCCTACAAACCTCCCCAAAATGTGTACCTGTCAAAAGAAGAAAAAAAAAGAGAGAAAATAAATAAAGATTACTTGTAGCTGGACAATATGTAGGATATAACAGGAGAACTTATAGGTTGTGCATTTAAAATACTTAAACTACCATAAAAATGAGAACCAACCAACAGATTTGGGGAAGCATACCTAAATAATTATATAAAAAGGTGGAAAGTTCAACACAACAATAAATATCTATATACATATATATATAAATATATGTGTATGTATATACATATATATATTTATATATAAATTACATATATGTGTATATATATATATATATATATATATATATATATATATATATATATATATATATATATATATATATATATATATATATATGTATATATGTACATTAAAAATATAAGGTGGAAAGTTAAACCCTTTTCCCTCATTTGCATACTTTCCGGTGTTGTAAGAATGAAAATCAAGATTTGAAGTATGAAATTATCTAATCTTATAGGTGGGAAAAAAAGAGTAAGATCATTGCACAAACATATTCATAAGGCTTGTCATGTGCCTGACCTGCTGCTAAGGTTTACAATTTAACAGTGTGTTAAATAAGTGGTGCCTTTACTACCAAGGATTTTCCATATGAAGAAACTTTTTTTTTTTTTTTTTACATGCAATCACTAATTTCCATGTTTTCTTCTCATTAGTAGATTAATATAAAGAAAATCATAATGCCAATAACATTATCAATATTAACCCAATGGGCCCAGATGGCATATTTACATGCCATATTCAATGTGTCATCACAGAGTAAATTACTAGTCTTATGTATCTTACCTGTTTATGTTTTCTTAATTTCTGGAAAAATTCTTTTACATTATCTTACCATTTTTATTATAAGTATTTTAATAACATTATAATAATCATGATGTCAATAATAATATCAGTATCAGTATCAACGGCCTTATTATTATCAATAAAAAGGAGAAAATCCAACAAATTCAAAATATGGCAAAATCTAGCATGGTCATGAGGGCCTCCTAACTGACTTCTTGGGGGCTTTGCACTTGTGGAGCCCCCTGTGTGTGACAAAATTCACAAAGGTTACAGTGGTCAGTACATAATCCCATAGAAATTGGCTATATAGTATTTCATATGTGACTTACTTGTCAATTTTCAGATATGGATTTTTTTTCTATAACACCAGGAATTGTAATATGTTGTAAAACTAACTGTTAATTAGTGTAGGAGGCCATAATAAACACTGAATGATAAATAATGAATTTATTTGGGAATGTCATTAAAAAGAATCCTTCCTTTTATGAATTTCTCCTAATATATATATATATATATATATATATATATATATATATATATATATATATATATATATATATATATATGTATATATATATATATACATATATATATATATATATATATATATATATATATATATATATATATATATATATATATATATATATATATATATATATGAAATAAATATAACGTTACATTTTTTTTCTATCAAAAAGTACAAAAAAATTTCCTCTAGTAATTAAATTACTGGAATTACCATACTGGGTTTCAAAGATTTTCTGAATTTCTGAGTTTTTCAAAAAATCCTCACATAATCAAATTAGCAAATTATGACAACAAAACATGCAATGACTTTCATGAATTGCATACCCCACTGAAAAACATGAGTAATGAAATAAAAAAGAACAAACTAAATAGGAAACTAGATTCGTAGATTTGTTGCACATTTGTCAACATGAATATGTTTCAACAAGCTAGATATATAAATTGCTATCTACTTTGAATACCTAGCTGCCAAGCATGACAAACCTAGGTAAGGCTTTCCATCACATGAACTACAGAAAGTTGATACTTTCCTTACTTTTTTTTTTTTATGTCATTTCAGATCCTTCATTTGTGGATATAATTTCACAACACCCTATAGATCTTGTGAGATTCTTTCTTTAATTCATCAGCTTCTGATAAGTGTTGCACTAAAGGATTGCCACTACTTGAAAAAAAAAAATCCTGGTCTCTCTCTCTCAAATGGTCTATTACTAAGAAGTGAAAGGATTATGAACTCTTACATTTTGTAGGGTCCATATCTTATCTGAAAAATATTTGTTGAAGAGAATGATGGAACTCACTACACAAGCTCGTGTGAGTAGTTCCATTGCAACCAATTTGTGTTCCATTGTACCAATTCCTGTTTTTTCTCACAGCTGTGTCATAGGGTCACAGTTGATCTGAAAGAACAATTCCTTTCCTTACATTATTGCAATGTATTATACCCTGATGCTTTTTTTTTTCTTCTCCACCCATTGTCTGTTCACCTGCTCCAGTTAGTCTATCATTATGCTTAAGAACTGTTGATATTGTGAGCAAATTTCTTTTATCTTTTCAATTGAAGACTTTGATACCCTTTACATTTTCAAGAGAAGCTACCTCTCCTTTCTTGATTTTGGTCTTCGTCACTTCCTTTGGAAGCCCTCTAGGGAAGGCATGCATAT